TTTAATTTAGTCTCTTAAATCTCAATCATTGACTTTATCTTATTAATAACAAAATATTGGTACTTCAAGCCCGGTTATCAGTCCTTCCGTATATCATTATTCTGTTGCTGTATATTATTGTAATTATTAATTTATATTTGTATGTTTATGATTAGCGTTGTGATTGATGAAATGGAATGTGTGTACTTTTGAAGTGAAAATTCAAGAAAACTTAGGAAATAAATTATTTTGGTTTCATCTTAAAACTTAACATTAGTGAATGTAATGTGAAAATATTGTTGGTCATCTAAATTCTTGGGGAACGGTTAATAGGTCTATTGGGTTGATCACAGGTTCAAATCCAACATATCACTTATTTATTCGTTTATTGCTATGCGATAATGCTATGATCCAGCTTCCGACTAAAGCTGTCGATCCGTCCAAATATAAATTAAATACATCCGCCGCAGCGAACCTGCAGACTTATCAAATTTCCATTTAACTGATTTGATTTCCAATTAACATCTCCTTAAAAATGTTATATTTATTCTCAATTTAAACAACATTTAGTCTAAAGAGCACTTAGGTTTGCTGCTACAGGGAGGGTAATAATGTGATTTAATAGTCAAATGTTAATAGAATAGTATGAAATAAATATATTTTCCAAAGTTGATAAAAATATGTTTATAAACAAGCAAATAACTACAACAGTTTACCTATAAGAACTACCTAACTATAAGAATAATATGAAAATTTCAATTGTACAGTTTTTTTTTAAAATTTGTTTCCATTAACCGCACAAAAACACAAATATGCTAAATTATATATATTTTAGCACCCCAAACCCCCACTTCCACGGTCCGATCATGCTGGTTCGCGAACTCGTTCGAATAAACGTAGGTGTACACGTTTGTACCTAATTTCTTCGAAATCGGATAATTTTTGCTCGAGTTATCGTGCTAACGGACACACATATGTGAATTTGAACGGATTTTGGCCTCTGGGGGCATCAAAACGAAAAAGGAAATCGGTCCCGAATCCAGGTCTTACCATGAGATATACGGTAATAGCTTGTACCCTATATAGGAAATTCTCTAAAAGAGGTACCCCTCCAGCGAAGAGAAAATTTCTGTGTATATTTGATGATGACTCCAAAATAGCTATACGAAAATGATAGCAATAGTGATTAAAGATTTACTTATGAGCTGGTCAAGCTACAGTATGTTTAGTCCAATAAGTGAAGCGGGGCCATATTTCCTCTCTTTTTACAAGTTTTAATTGATCCCTGTGTCGATAATAGGCACATATGTCCCATTGGATCAATACTAAATTGGATTTATGTTCCTTTATGACGTAATATCCAGTATGATGTAATTTGTTATTGCCAAGTGATCGTACAAACATCCTTTATTATATGAATAACAAAACAGTTATTAATCAATATTCGTTTCGTAACGTTAATTTACTCTGGTAGTTAAAAATGATTATGTATTAACTATTTACAATAATTTCCATTTCAACTTAACTTACCTTAACATAGAAAGAAGATTCCTATCCAACATATACACTACTGTATTTCCTTTACCAACTCCAGCACTGCTCACCAAATCCATACATTAAGACGAGGATTTCTAACAGTGTGGGACCAAAATATTCAGTTTTGGCTTTTCTCAATGCAACTTCCATTAACACGGAATCAAGTGAGAACCCCATCCAATATCTTCCTCAACAATTCCCCTGAACAGTTAACCAGTGTTCACCTAACATATGGAAAAATATCGACGCCAAAAAAAACCTAAATTGTTAATTCCAAAGCACAACTCCAAGAAACAAATAAACAGTTTTATCATGTAACCCATCAACATTTAACGAAGAGCAACAACTTCAAAAAAAAAAAAAAAAAATCCCGACCAATAAAATACGTTATTCACCCACCCGATCAAAAATTGTTGACGTTATAAAACCTAAAATGTTAATGCAAATTCATAGAATAAACAAGTTGATCTAAAAATAAAAAATAAATTAAATCTTGTATCCTATTAACATGTAGTGGATATTTATAAGCGCACTGTGGATGCGATACTCCCTGGTGTGGATTAACGTCCGCTTGAGTACTACGACTATCCGCAGTACTATCCTGATAATTAGACTAATTCGTTAATACCAAGGCAAAAATGTGGTTCGGATCCCACTATAAACTGAGGGTCCCTTAGTTGCCATTAGCTGCATGGGCTAATTAACAGCTGTGTCTAAGGAATATGTCGGCCTTAGTCACTAAGGCTAAAAGATAGCGCCACTCATCCTACACTCATCCTTCACTCATATTTGGGTTAAAATACGCACATAGGCACATAGCGGCGTCCCCATCTTAAATAATTGATAATTCATATAATTGAACATTGAAGGCAATTCAACACCTCCCAACAATTTCCCTAAGCTGTTCACCGGATAGAGACATTTTGACGGGGATTTTCAACAGTGTAAACAATTAACGTCGCCGGAAGAAGCGGTGATTACCAAGTACTTCTCGTTAAAATTACTCAAAAACGAGCGCATTAACGCGAGGGTAAGCGGCGGCGGTTACCGGGATATTTCCCGTCGGACGATAATAAGAAGGCAGGCGCGGATCGCTCTATCGCAGTTAGGAAGCTGCTAAGCTGCATGGCGATTAATTATGGTAAAACAGACATATGCGGTCGAGAACAAACGGACACATAACCTGGCTTCCGACAATATGGCAGTTTCGGTAATGGTTGGAAAGCAGGTGAAACACAAAGCGAGGTGAGTGGCTACGGAGAAATCTGGGTGTTGGAAGTGAGTGTCGGGTACCTTGGAAATAGGGGGGTTCATAAAATCATGGCGGGTTGGATTATTAAAAAAGAAAAGTTTATAAGAAGTTATCGTACTTTTTCAAACTCCTGACAGGGCAATCCAAATTTGGTGGATTGTGTCAAAAGTAGAGTGTGTGATTGTGAATACCAGACTCAAACTATAAAAAATACAGTGTTTTCATAAAATAATGGTGGGGTTTATTTATAAAATAAAAAGAAAACTAGTAATGTTGCAAAAAAAACTACTTATGTTGTTCAATTCCTGACACCAAAAAGATTTTATATTTAGCAAATAAACTTCAACATGGCCACAATTTCTCGCTTTACAGACGTCCAGACTGTAGTTAGAAGTTGTGCTATCATCAGGCATTCCAGTTCAAAATGTTCAGTCAAAAATGACAGTTGTTGATGATTAAAAAATATCAACCCCCATAGTCAACAAAATACTGACCATGGTTGCTTGAGTGTAACTCTTCTTTCAGGCTACAAAACTCTAACTTCCATTTATTTGACCAATGTTCGACTGGGAACTGGGACTCAATAACAATATTCTAAAAAGCCTCCTAAATGATTTTCATCTCTTATAAGTCATGAATGCTGGGTATTTAAATATGTTTTTATAAAGTTATTTTGATCGAAAGACCAAATTTGTATCAAAGTTACCTGCCACTTGATACTGAGAAAAGATAAAGACTATAAATTAACTCACTTCAATGTGGTCTATAGACCCCAATAGGTTACACAACTTTTCAAACATTGACTACACAGTATATCTACACAGATGTATTTAAAGTCAATGGTTTCAAAAAACAAAAACATGTCCCGTAACAGCGGAGACTATGTAAAATTCTTTTATTTGAAAGATAAAACTTTTTCTTTCTTTTATATACTCGTAAATTGTTTTTGACGTGACACCAACAGAATTGGTTACTGTGGTTTTAGTTCAACTAGGGTAAAGTGGTTGTAAGCTATTACTATAGATTAAAAGAAGTAGCACTCCTTTTATCTATGCTATTAGTGGCTGTCATTTCAAATTATGAGAACTCATCCTGGAGAAAGCCAATGTTTAACAACAAATAGTTCTACTTAACAAGTTTTAAGTCATAGTAAAATAGAGCAGGATTTGGATTTGTATATAAATTTTGACAGTGCAGAATTTTATTTGAGTGAACCCTTTAAATTAGTTTTAGACTAATTTTAATGTATTCACTGAAAAAAGTAACAATGAAACAGTCTATTTAGTCTTCAAACGGAAATTCTTTTTTTTAATTTTTAGCGCGCTATAAAAAAAAAATAATGGAAATTTACTTTAGGCATTGCTAGCCTATAATGTAATGTCAAACTATGGAATTCACGATTTTTACCAAATTTCTGCCGCAGTAATTGACAAGGTTCTAAATAATAAGCATATATAGAATCAATAAATATTTATGTCAATAGCAAACTAACTTTACGGGAAGCTCTGAGATTCTATTTCTAAAGGACAACTTAACTATGAAATATGTTAAAACAATCATAAAGTTAAATAAAACATCTATATATAGTATACTGTTACATCACCTTGAATGAACCATCACAATGTATTTTTATCGTTTAGGTACAAATTATGGCAAAAGATCTTGTAACTACTATTTTATCCTTGAATTATTAAGTTAACAGTGAAAAATATTTACATTGAGTGTGTTTTCTTATGTTAGAGAATGAACTCTACAAAAATGTTTTATGACAATTTTTATTTTTTTATCTTGAATAATTTGCGTTTGTAAAAGTAGCAATGGGAAAGATGTTAAAATTTATGATTTATAGTTATTGGCCTCTTTTATAAAAACATAGTAGTTTAAATAGCTTGAGTGCAAAAAAACAACTGCCCCCTGTGTGGTTCGTTTCCTAATTAATTGTACAAGAATTCGTTTGGAAATTTTAATATAGGCCTAAAACTCTTTCTCCAATTAGTTTTAATTTGACATCGTGTGTGCTGTTCTTTTACTATCTGCTTTAGCAATTGTTGTTTCTAAAAATATATATAAATATTTGTATAAATAAAAATAGGAAAATGTAAAATAGTAATGTAACATTATTAGAACACTAATTTACAACAGAGAATAATTTTTTCCTTATAGAATTTTAAAATAATTAATCTATGCTTCCAAGTGAAAAGAGTCTAAATTTCGTATTCGTCGTATCATCAGTTCGTTCGTTATTTTGGTATATTTTTTTTGCCAAAACTGCCACAAATGAAATATATTTATACATTTTCACTTATTACAAAATCTATCACATTGTGTTTGCAATACGTCACTGAACAATCGAATTAAAGTAACTAATAAATACATCTTAGAAGACTAATAATCGTTGACATCACAATTCATAACAATATTTGATTTTTTACACATGAATGAGTCGAAGTTAAAAGTGCAAACTGTCAATAGTTTTCACTAGACGGAGTTGAAGCTAGCGTATCCAGAATGGCGGTCTCGGCAGAGGCTGGGTGGCAGGGGGCTGCACCAGGGGGGTCGGTCCAAGGGGAGGCAGTGGCTTAGGGTCGTCCACGGCGTCCCTATCTCGGGGGCTCAGCCCTACTGGTGGTGTCCAGTCGTCTGGCAGCTCCTGTACTGTCGCCCTACTGGATCCTTCCCCTGAAACAAGATAAATGGTGTTCAGCTTCTGTTGAGTCAAGTCAAATATTTAAAAAAATCTGGTTTTGATTCATACTACTTTGGTCTCCATTGATGCCGGTGGGTACTAAAAAAAACACGATGAATGTTGAAACCACAAAAATATTATTTGTCAAGAGAAAATATGAATTTTACCTTTTTGTGACCGTGAATAGTAATTGTTCAGAAAACTTTAGGAATGTTAAGCTCGTATAACTTTGGCATACTCAAAGGTCACGTTTGTAAAAATTCGAAAAGTGTTGGTTTAAAAAAATGTAGTTTAAATAGATTGCTCTACTAATAATTCAGCTTGGTCTCTATTGAAGTAAGTCCATCTTTTGATTTAGATATTAAAATTAATATGATTAAACCGTCCACAGTATTTCAAAATATCATTTGTCAAATTTGACACTCTGTGACCCTGTTGTCCTAAATTATTGGGCTGGTCCTGTGGTCCTGGCTGAAGAAACAAAATTGGTCTCAGTCAGTTACAGTACTGACCAGTGACCATCTCACTCCGTTCTACACATTCACCGTGAATTAATGTTCAGTTTAAAATATAGTACACAAAATACGTTTCTGTAGAACAACAAAGTGGTGTTTTCATAACTATTGTTCAACGTGTTGTTGATAAGCACTCGCTTAGAAACATTTTCTGTAAAAAAAAAAAAAAAAAAAAAACACTTTATTATTACAAGAATATATTTCGGTAAACTATGGGGTCATCTCCAGACCGACTGTGAACTGCGCCTCAACAATATATTTTTTCGTTCATAACCGTTTATCAAGGGATTTATGATTATTTGTAAGATTTCTTCAATCTTCACAGGTATGGAGCGTCGGAAAGTATCCATTATTTTATTCTCTGAATTATAACTAAATAATTGTACTACCTCCCTCCATTTCAGGTACACAAATGCGTTTGGATACTGTTGTATGTATTGTGTGTATATAATTGTGTTTTGGTTTCTACCTTTTGAATCAACGAATGAAAACACAATTTTTAAGGTGTAAAATACGACAAATTAACCATGTTTTATATACTCAATTTACAATTCAAGATTTCAGAAGTCTCCTTGCAAACTCCGAAAAAACTCACTATATAAACCCCCTTAGTTTTCCATCAACAATAACTCCAAACATCTGAAAATAGCCTCCACTGAATAGAATAACCTATCCGCGGGCGTAGAAGTGTAGAGATTTCCCAAACACCGCCCAGTAGAGAAATTGGTCTGTAATTTTCTGTAATGTTTGCATCGCCGTCTGCAGGGCAAACACAAAGCAGGCCTGAGGCCACTGGCCACTAAGTTACGGCCTTAGGCTCGTGGTAACGCAACACTTATTGAATTAGTAGAGCGGTAGGTCATTTATTATGGTAAAAATAAGGGGTAATTTTCAATAATGGAAAAGTAACAACGCCTAAATACAGGCTGAGACGTGTCCTTATATGAAAGTTCACGGACAGGTCCTACTAGATCGCGATGATAGCCTGGTTTGTCGTAAACGCTACTGGAATAGACCTCGATGTGAAATAGTTCAAGTGGCTATGATGGCTAAGATATATTTTAAAGTGTTCGTGGCAAAATAACAAGGTTAATGCAAGCAGATTGGTATGTTACATTGGCTGTGATATTAAAACGTGACCATAATACGAAAGGGTTAAGTTATAAATTGTTAAGGAATAATACAGCAGGAGTAGAGACTACGGTGTAGATGGATAAAATTAACCTACTTTATGATTATTCATTGTGCCTGCCAAAAGATCCAAATCAAAATAATACATTAGTGAAGTGGGAAAACCGAAGTATGCCTTCTTTGTTGGATATTTTTAAGTTTTTGCTCTATAAACGGTGAAAGTTAAATTAATTCTTTGTTCGAATAACAAATTGTTGATGATTTATTTTCACACTAACCAATTGTCAGATGTTTCGCTGTCAGACACTCACGTAGATTGAATGTTTCAAACTTAATAGCAAAATCATCAACTTATTCAAGTACCGTGATATTTGAATGGGTAATTACCTACAACTGGTTCATTAAGACGGGGCCACGTATCAATAAATTAAGAAAGTTCTACTACGACAAATAATCTTTTGTAAATGCTTTTGGGCGATTTTTTGGATAATAAATTATTTGCAACAATGTTTGTCCCGGATAGACAATATTTTGAAAACTTCAATGAACACTTCTGATTTCTAGCTGATTAATTTAGTGGTTATAATCCTTGGGTAACATTCAAGAGGTCCGATCTTGAGTAAAGGCAGTAGCTTTTGATAGTTTGAAACTCGACCCAGCTCCCCTTGATCATTAATCTTTTAATGGTCCTGGCTAAAGAATAGCTAGTCTTTGTCAGTACCAAGACCACACAATACACAATGTATCACTCCACTCTTAATTGAGTAGAATTGAATTTATCTCCCCATCTTCTTTGGTAATAGTAAACATAGAATACTCAAAATCGAAAATAGAAACTAAACACACTTCTGCGGCTACTAAAATCCCAAATAGCCACAATCGTGACAGAAAATCCCAGCAATTATGCCACAAACGCCACAACGTGTCATATATCGAACGAACCCCATCAAAACCCCATAGATCAGTCGTTATAAGATATTTCAGCCAGCTATTTGCCCGATCTATGTGTCAGTAAGTCACAGTTGGCCGATTTGCATAACTTACGTCTGCTCCTCCGAACCTCTAAGTGGAAAATAATTTAGAAGCCTCATCATTGAGGGTGCCTCGAGCCGCACCCTATAACTCACATCGGCGTGAACCAAAGATGCCGACGAGGTGGGAAGGGGGAGGGGAGGGGTCTTGCAATAAAACACAACGGCTTCCAATACCAGTCTTGAGTCTTGGCCGAGCCGCTCTCGTCGGGAATCCCACAGGTACTCCCGACAAAGGGTTACTCTGATAATGCTTTGACAACGCCATACTTTGATATTCAAACCTCTTACTACGCATTTTTCCAACATTCACTATCACCAATGGGTACTAACGTCTATATAGACAATCTGTGGTGAATTTCCTGGCACAGACAAAATGACAATAATTATTGCTGTACCATTAACCAACAAATAATGCAAGTGAAAAAAGTGAGATAATGTTCAGAATCAAACAAGCAGGCAGATGCGTTATCAAAACACAAAGGCAAATTGGATATCCAATGATGCTGCGAAGTGCTAATACGCGATTCTGATTAATCAACAGTGCAATGCAAATAGAAAACACTGTGGGAAATCTTCAGGGTCAATCTCACAATGCAGATGCGTCTCCATTCAGAGATACAAAAACTAGATTAGACACACAATTTTATGGTAAGACGCAATTCTGAACTCCTATTGCTGCTCCAAGTGCAAATTGTATCAAATTAACTAACTTCACCAATGCAAATGGAAAAGATTGCGAGTAAATTTTGAGACCAAATTGCACAAGCACACAGATGTTCTATAATTTTGGAAAGTAATGAAATTGGACACTCGGTGTTTTATTGCATTACGCAATGGTTCACATTGTTGCTTAAAACAGCAGCTATTTTTTTTATATTTTTTATGTCCCATCTTCACATTTATAGGACGCTATAGTCCTAGAGGGTTGTAGCATTATCATATAGTAAAATATATTGGTGATTGGTGGGATTTGAACCCAGGACCTCGGGCACCGAAAACCCGTGTCCTGCCACTAGACCAGCTCGCTCCCCAAGTGGCAGCGAAGTGTCTTTATCACAAATGACCTCAGCCTCACAAGTACGCAGACTTTATTGCAGAACACAATGCTGCTTAACACAGTGGCAGTTAATTACATTTATCACAAATGACCGACCTGCTCCAATGAAAAAGAAAAACTTCAAAGCCAATCTCAAAAGCGCGCAGATGCTCTATTAGAAACACGAATACAAACACAGGTTATAGAGGTGGAACACATTTACAACCCGAGGTATTCTAAACGACCGCCCCGCGCCTGTCGGTGTGGAATCCCATTTCAAAATCCAATCAACCCAAGACGAAAGATGCTCTCAGACAGCGTGGCGGCACCTCGATCCCAGCGCTCCCCGTCGCAGCGGCCTGCGTCAAAACTACTCTGCCCACACGAGCACAAGTAATTACAACTCAACTTATTGCTTCAAGTCCAGTCACCCAATTCCAAATGAAATTCATTACCCACTAAATTGTCTGCTTTATTGGAACTGCTTTGAATTGGAATTAGTGTGGCTGATTGGCAAGGTGTGATGTCTTTTTCAGCGGGAACATCTGTCGTGGATGTGAGAAGATTTGATGGCATTGGCTGGAGAAGATGGATATGTGAGAGTTATCTTCGATGAAAAGTTGATCGTTTCACCATTGGACAAATATGGACCTTCCTTTTTGGGAGGCTGCTGCCAAATAATCATTCGTGGCAAGCAAAGCAAGACTGCGATTCGCTCGGATTGTAACACCAATTTTGAAATCATTCAGATGAAATATGGCTATGGACCGAAAGCCTAAGAGAGCGTAAATATGACCACATCCATTTATAAAACCCTGGAGCCAACTAAATAGACGAAAGTATTCCATTTAGATTAACATCGGACATTGACATAGGATTGCATTTCCTCTTAAATTCATTGCAAATCTATCACACGACTTTTGGTGAAGGAGGTTCTCATACATAGAGAAAGAGAGTTATCCTTGCCAAGGAGAACCCTTTTCGGTTTACAAGAAAGATGGTGCATTATTGGCTCCATACCCTGTCATTATTACACAGCTAAACCCCAACAGTAATTAATGGAATATGGAAAAAGCATCCAGAATTTAAATTCAGAGCTTTATCAAGACCAGCTTTCAAGGAAATCCAGTTACGTTGTAAAAATTATCATCACAACCAATCTATTTCGAGATATTTTAGGCCTATATGCCTTTTAGTTCACAACTGCAACAGTTCAATCAATAGCTTATAGTTAGTCCTAATATATTTGAATTTCTTGGATAACTATAACCTGGCTT